CCTACCTCTGACAGCTATTCAAATCTGGAAATCATTCTATGTCTAACCTCTCAGTGTTGCTTAAATGTCTCAGTTATTAGAATAAGATTAAACTAAAATGCTATAGTTCTGAAGAATTAAAACATAGTATAGGGATTTCCCTGGTGACACAGTGGTTAAGACTCTGCACTCCCAATGCAGGAGGCCTGAGTTCAATCCCTGGTCAGGGAACTAGATCCCACACGCATGTCACAACTAAGAGTTTGCACGCCAACTAAGGAGCCCGCGAGCCGCAACTAAGGAGGCCGAGAGCCACAAGTAAGGAGCCCACCTGCCACAACTAAGGCCTAGCACAACCAAACAAATAAATAAATATTTTAAAAAATAGTATAAGATATAGAGAACAAACTAGTGGTTACCAGTGGGCAGGGGGAGGGAGGGGCAATACAGGAGTGAGGGAGTGGAAGGTATAAACTATCGAGTGTTAAGATAGGCTTAAGCATATATTATACAACAAGGGGAATATAGCCAATATTTTGTAGTGACTGTAAATGGAAAGTAACCTTTAAAAACTGTATAAAAATTTAAAAAATTTTTAAAAACAGTATAGAAAGTCTCTGTAGGATTATAAAATATTGCACTCAGGATGAAGGGAATGACATAGCTGGAGAACAAGAGGGAAAAAGAGACTTGCTTTTTATTGATAACCTTTAATACCTTTTGCATTTTATATACCTATTTATAAAATATTTTAAGACACTACAGTAAATAATATTCCAAGTGCAGATGAAAACTGAAAACAGTAAGGCACTTAAAATTTTAACAAGCCTGTTTTTAAAAACAATTTTCTAAAAAGTCTTCTATATGAGTATTTGAAATGGCAGTCTTATTTAATAATAATATGAAGCTTCCATTTTAAATCTGAATCCTATTAAAACTGCCTAAGAACCATCACATCTGAATAGCAATATATAAAAGATCAAAACCACTCATTTAAAAGCAATAAGCACAACCTGGAGTGACAAAAATGGCACAGAACTTTCTTTTATATTTATAGTATATATTTTGTATCGTTATATAATATTCAAACACTATTTTAGTAGATAGTTTCACTTCTGTTTCCTTTCATATATATTTCATATACACATATAGTACACATACCTTTCATACCTATATACATTATATGTATATATTTCTTTCATATGTATGGATAGTACATTTTGTTTTCTTAAGAAACCGAACCACAACAACAACAAAAAAGCCACCTCAAACTTAATTTTTTCCTCTACATTCCATAATCTTAAGGAGAAAGAAATAGAGACAGCACATAGCCTAATCATAGAGATCTCAAAACTGCAAGTTCTACCACCCCTCATGAAGTCAATATACAGTTAGTCAAATCTCACAGGATTTTTTGAGAGTTTACCAAAGCTCTTTGTTTCTCTGAGTACCTATGATATGCCCCTGCCCTTATCCACCAAAGCATTTTGTTAGGGTCTCTCCTTTACCATTTATAGTCAACCTTGTAACAGACTTACTTAAATACTTGCCTGACCCTCCTCCTAAAATATGTTTATATTTCTTGGAACACTGAAATGCACTACTGGGAAGATAGTAATACTGCCCCAAAAAACTTGTAGAATTTTTGTCAATAACCCTTGGGCACTATACAATCCTGAATTACTTCAATATTTCCTATCTCAAAGGATATTTTCAGGAAACTTTTAAATTTTCTTACTGTATTTTAATTCTTTAAAATAATCTGTATCATATGAAAGTTAAATCTCAGTTAACTAGACTATTCAGGGAATCAAACTCAATATCAAAGCACTTTGCCTAAATGGAGCTTTACTATTTGGGAAAAAATAAATAAATAAAATTCCTCTAAAAAATGAAAAACAAAAACCTTCAATGTACAATAAACATAAAATCTATTCAGTGCAGGTACTCTACATAACACTATAGGAAATGTTTATCATCTATGAACATGTCAAAATTTTTAAATAATTAAAACTCCCATTAATAAAGGAATAGAGAAATAGTTTATTAAAAATAAAGTATATAGAACCACTGAGTCTGGCACTAAAGTAATACTAATCTATAGCAAGAATTTGGAAAGATTTCAGGGAAAATGCTAAAAGAGCACAAAAATGAAGGAGTGGGGAAAGAAAGGATGACAAAGAAACACCTAGACAGTAGACAAGTAAGATGTGCATGTGTGTGGAGTTGTGAAAGGGCGTATAATCTGTCCTCAAAGCTCATCTCCAGCCACAGCATCCTTTCTACCCAGAAGGCAGGATTTCATTTTTCATTCACTGTCTACCAAAGCCAGGAGACAATGATTTTGCTCGGTTTTAACAACTTCCTATATTTTGGTAAACATGAAATGACCACAAATTAAGAAAGAAAAATTCATCATAATTGTACATTCTTAATAACAATTTAAGTCATTTTTAAAATGCAACCAACATTTCTCTGTTTTAGAACATCTTTTCCTGGGGTTAAAAAAAAAAATTGCAAGAAATCAAAACTCAACTTCTTTCCCAATCTACCTAAGATAAAAACCAAAACTCTATTCTAATCAAAAAAGCAGATGACAAACTTTTCAGTATTTATTTTTAATCATTACAGTTGGTAAATATTTATAATCTTCCAACTACCAGATCACTTTAAAGTAAAAATTTTTTTTGCTAAAAGAAAATGACATTGGATCAATTTATGAGGACAATTCAAGTATTAAAATCAGCATATGATGTTGTTAACTCTAATCTCAGCAAAACAGTCATCTGCTAAACATTTAGCAAATATCAAATTCTTAGCTTTTTATTAATCAGTTAGGCTCTTTGATTTTCAAACATATTAGCTGCTGGACCTAAAACTACCAGCTAAATGAACAGCTTAATAACTAGGCAGGCATTATTTACTTGTCAAATTATCACAAAGCTAAAAGCAAATTTGTCTTAATCAGTACTTTTGAAAGTTAATTATAAACAAGAAAATTCTACTGTTAAGCCTATAATAAGTAAATTATTTTCCAAGTACCAGGCTTCCTTGTCTGTGTCTCTCTTCTTCGTATTTCCCAGGCAACTAGCACCTCTGGTGGGCACCTAGTCTAGTAAGGAGACCATTCTCTATTTAGTTGCATGTATGTCTATTAGGTAGCTTTTACTCACTACAGATTACTTCTAAATGCAGTTGATCAAAAAAATTTTATTATATTAAATACCCACTTGAAATTTTTTAAAAAGAAACCAGAAAATGTTCTCATATAAATATGTAAGCTAAAAAATATATTAATGTAGTTCAAAAAGAAAACATGACCTTATGGAAACCACTCAAAAAAACTTTCCTTTTAACCTGTAATTAAACACACACACACACACACACACACACACACACACACACACACACACACACTCTAGTTAATTTTCAGTGTTTTATTCTTATGAAAACAAAAACCAGCCAAATTAGAAATGGTTGCCCTAAACTGAAATAAAATAATCTAAATTATCAATGTCAGCTGCAAAAAGTTAGATATTTCCCCAAATTTGCAGTCAGAGATAAGAAAACTCATGTTTTAGTATGGGGCATTAAGTACTGTTAAATAAATTTAGGGCAGGGGTTCTAACAGTGCTATAACTTAGTATAATGACAATGATATGTATTTCACTAAAATAGACATACAATTGGTTATTTAAATAAACACACAATAATTTTTCTCAGTGATGAAGATTAAAAGAAACGAACAACCAACTGGGAAGAAAGAAAAAGCCAAAAATATTTTAAAAAGAAGGAAGAGGATAATTAAGTATCTGAATTTTCAAATCTGGCAGGGGGAAAAAGAGAGAGAGAGAGACACTGGTACTAGAACCTCCTACAACATTACCAGTATCAAGTCAAATGAAATCTAGCACTGGCAGAACATGGCAGATAACATACATTACCAGGAAGATTAAGTAAGCAGAAAGGCCAAGGAAGATTTTCTGAGCTTTGAAATGAGACTCCTTGTGAACACTGGATCAGATACAGAAGTCAAATGCTTTTCATTTCAGTAAAACCATAATTGGTGATGCTGAAGGGATTATGATAAGCATGAAATATGTGTGCAAGAAGACAGTGTGTCTGTGTGTTTGTGTATGTGTGTGCACACACACGTGTGAATGTGTGGGCATAGTGATGATGCCAACAGAAGTGGCTAATCACATGAACAAGTTCATGATTAACAAACAGTAAAATAAATTATGGGTCTGTTATTCATCCATCCTAAGTTCTCCTAAAATCTCCTATTTCTAAAATTATTAGGCTGTTTACATTTGACATCATGGCCTAACCTACACGCACATCACTAAGAAAGCAATCTGCTTTCACAAAGGTATGTACAAAATTTTCCAAAATCATTTTCAGTGCCTGTTATACTTTCTCTTGTCACAATAATTGTTTATTTAAACGAACTCTAGGGAATCTCCTGGCAGTCCAGTGGTTACGACCCAGTGCTTTCACTGCCGGGGCCCAGGTTTGACCCCTGGTCAGGAAACTAAGATCCCACAAGCTGCACGGCGCAGCCACAAAAAAATATCAAAATAAACGAACTCTATTTATAAGTAACGAGAAGTATTTTGCTTCAAACTACCAAAGTATACATTTACTATCTTTTTGCTCAGATGAAGCTGAAAATAATGAGATTAGAGAATGACTGGGGATACTTAAACTACTTTAGAACAAAAAATTGAAATTTCAGTAAACATATTCTAAATTACTACTACATTTCGGGGACAAGCTATGCTATTTAGGAGCTAATAACAGGAAAAAAAAACTATGTGCATCTTCTACGTCTATGTGCCCAATGGTAATAATTGTAACTTTGTCTAAACATCACACTACCACTGTTTAGTTTTTAAATTAAAAGGATTTTTTAATTCTCCTGTCACATTTTAAGTTACTCTGGATTTCATTTATATTAAGCCTGATAGCAACACAACTTGACTCTACCACAGTGAAATAATCTTTCATGATCAACTTACACTGCAGTTTTCAGGCGGAACCAGAAGCTGAGTAATCTCGCCACCATGGACACAGAAGATGTGTTTCATTTCTCCAGAAAAAATGTCCCAAATTATGACCGAAAAATCCACGCCTCCAGATATCAGATATCTTTGATCATAACGAGCTGAGACCTGATGCGGATACAACAAACATGTGACTTTGTTCCGATGACCACGGAGTGTCCTGTGAGGTGGCCAACCTGTGAAGGAGGTTTTGGATTTAGCTATACATTTTACCATTGAAAAGGCTTCTAGTTTTCTAGAACTGCTCTGTAGTTCTAGAAATACAGTAGCTACATACCACATGAGACTACTGAACTCTTGCAGTGTGGCTAGAGTGGATTCATATGTGCTATGAATGTAAAATATACATGAGATTTCGAAGACTTAGCACCCAAAAAATGTAAAATATCTCATTAATAATTTTTATATTGATTACAAGTTGAAATGAAAATAGTTTTGCTGTACTAGGTTAAAGAAAATATATTATTAAAATTAATTTCTCCTGCTTCATTTTTACTTTTCTTAATGTGCCTATTAGAAAATCACCTGTTACATATATAGTTCTTTTAGCATTGTTCTAAAAGATTACCAGTATTACTGATAATATGATAATTACTAGTACACTATATAGGTACCAAATAATAAATGGAATTATTAACACATATCAAAGAGATAAAATTAGATACCTCTTTATTTACAGTCATTACATGGTGTTTATTCCAATAATAGACACTAAGTACAGTTGATCCTTGAACAACAGAGGTTTGAACGGCACAGGTCCACTTATACGCAGATTTTTTTCAATAAATATTTACTATAGTACTACACAGGGGCAGCTGATTGAATCCAAGGATACAGAGGGCCAACTGTAAAGTAACATGCAGATTTTCAACTGTGCAGAGGGTCAGTGCCCCAACCCCCTGGGTTGTTCAAGGGTCAACTGGAGTGTATTTTATTAACTGCACATTAAATTCTCCCAGCTACATTGCACACTAACAACTGCACGGATTCATTGTATTTGTTAAAAACAAAGAGTGTAGACATTGTCAGGTTCATGGTTACAGAGTTCTCAAAACACTTTAGACACTAGGAGATCTTCAGGATACCTCTGCGGAGCATGTGCTCCCCTTGCAGCAGTTGCACTATGGCTGTCTGCGTGGCAGGTACAATAACGATGCTTCCATCTTCACGGCCACAAACGAGTCGCCCGTGGGCTGGTATGTACACACTTGCGGTCACCTTAAGAGGTTCATTACTACTGGGAATGACACTCAGCTGATCTATAATTCCGGCAGGACAAGGATTCAGTTTATCAAATGCCTCTTGCAAGCTAACAGAAGTTGTCATTTCCAGCTCTGTGGAGGTTTTGTTTGGTATAAAAGAAAAACATTTAAGTATTTTAGAAAAAACATTAAACATATAAAAATAAATGTGCTTACAGACGATTCAGTAATATACCAAAGAAAAACTGTCATCAACTATAATTCTAAGAAGAAAATGACATATGTACATTATGAATTTGCTACACAGTGGCTGGTATTTAGGTTGTTAAATTTAAAAAATTGAAAAATTACTGCAAGTGATTTACTAGTACTTCCTGTACCTTCCTGCTTATCAGGTGTGTCTGATATGTTCCAAATATTCAATCTTCCAGAAGAATCACCCTGAATCAATAGTTTGTGGAAGTATTCCTTACATCCATAGAAGAACCGAGTAACAGGAGGACAAATTAGCAACTGTAAAAAAAAAAAATTTGTTCAAATACCCTTAGCTATCTTTTTAAACAAAATATTTCACACATTAACATTTTTTTCAGATTAGGGTGTTAAGTACTTTGCCTCGGTACTAGAGTAAAAAAAAAGTGCATTTATAGAATGAGTATTCAATAATATTTTAATTAATTTTGTAGCACTGAAACATATATCAACTAATACCCAAATCCAGTACATAGAACACAAATGAAAACTAAATTTATAGTCTTTCTCTAGAATTAATATTTTTATTCTTTTTCTCCGCCTTATAAAAACCACAATGCAATTATTTGTCTGCTATTAAGCAATTAATACAAAGATATACCCCTCTTTACCAAAAAGAAAATTCTCCACTTAAAAGGTCAAAAGGGGAGAACAGGCTAATCTGAGCTTTCTGCCCATCCCTGATTAGTCTCCAAGAGTAGATGCAAAACTAAACTACCAAACTTGTACAACTAGAGGACTCTTTTTTTTTTTTATGAGAGTATTTTTCAACTGATGGCATGACACTTGATGACATTTACATAATCTACTTGAACCTAGCCTGATATGTTTGCTATAGACTACTAGGAACAAAAACCATTCATTAGGGTGTTGTGTATACTTTCATTTTTAAAACAAGTTATTTTTCTGCTTAAGATCCTGTGTCTTCAGTGAGACCACTTATTTGAAAATACTAAATTGTGGTGGACTCCTAAATTTAAAGTTTAAATTATTAATATACTAAAACTGGAGCATTAAAGCATAGAAGCTCATCCTAAAAAGCAGTAAAAAATAGACTTCAGTGTTTAAACATATAGTTAACAAATAATCCGTATTTGGTATCAGTTGTTTCCTAAAAAGCATTATCCTATAGAAATTATATGCATTAAGCATAGTTAATTACTTGATTTAACTTAAAGCCTGACAATTACTAAAAGTTTTAATTGATAAACAACATGCTTAACTAGGAAAAGTTGCTACAACAGCTGTAATAACCAGTATTTCATATTTCAATGTGTATCTAACACCACACAGTACATATATTTTAATTTAAAATGTATTGGGGAGCTGATACATAAAGAAACATGGTATGTATTTGTTTTGTTTCATGGTTTTTTTTTTTTGTTTTTTTTTTTTTGGCCGTGCCGAGCAGCTTGCAAGATCTTAGTTCCCTGACCAGGGATTGAACCCAGGCCCCAGCAGTGAATGTGCTGAGTCCAAACCACTGGACCACCAGGGAAATCCCATCATGTATGTTTTTTATATAAGTCATTATCTCTTGATTTAAATAGAAGTGACTATCTCGTTTGGAGAGCAGTAAGTTAGGAGTTTAAGCTAAGAGACTAAAGGACAGGTCATAGAGGATCTTAATTGTACATGGATGTATAAATTCTATATATTCAAAATATTCATGTAAAAATTAATTCCCTTCCCCTCGCCATCTCTCCACATAAAGATGGAACAAAATGTTCAGAATGAAAAAGCTGTGGAAACCTAGAACTTGAGTAAAGGAAACTTTATTTCCAAAACGAAAGCTTCTTTCTTAATGCTCAAAGAATAGAGAGTTGAAAACCCAGTACTAAGTGCATTTCAACTTTAAATTGATATTAAGTAGGTTCTTAGAAGTCATAATAAATTTGGTTTTTATAGGGAAAAAAATGTCTTTTTTCTTTATTCCTAATGCCTAACGACTTAAATCACTACATAGTTTTGCGGAGATACTGCAATACCTTGTTCAAATAATAATCAGTCAGCATTATTACATAATTATCTTTGTGCTTCTAAAATTACATCTCTCACCATGTTTATAACTGCATGAGTATAAAATCAATTTATACCATCAATATGAATTTTATCAAAAAGTCATTGCCACTTTGTAATCAGTATAAGACCATTTTTATTCCCGGAGAACAGTGAATGCTACATTATAGGCATATTATAAGCAAATCTGAAAATTGTGCTTATAATAACTGACCATGTCAAAATGTTTTACAGCATCTAACACACAGCCTTGAATTGTACTGAATCTTTCAAATGTTTAGCTACCAAGACACCAATAAATATAGTTGTAAAAATTTTTCAACATAACTACCAATTATAAATGATACCTGAAGAATTTTACCTCTTTATCTGTTCGATCCAAGAGGCTATGTTGTACTGGAGGAACTAAATTTTCAACTGCTTTCCCCACATCACTGCGGAATGAATCACTAGCTGGAAGGCAACTGAAAATGAGAAAACTACAACATTCAGCAAAAATACTGACATTAAATATTTTATCATACCATACGATGACTTTTTTTGACAATGGAGAAAATATGGATGTTTTAATTATAGTTTATTTAATATAGGCATGAAATTAAATCATTAATGTTACTAACATACCCTACTTCAAATAAAAACTCCACCTAATTTTTGTGCTTAGAAGTTAAACCTCAATTACAAATCTAACTTAAGTTCTCAAGTTTTTTACCTAAATTAAATACTTATACTTTCTACATTTTCATACTTTCAGGTTATACCCCAAATTTGGAATCTTTTGCTTTCAATTAAAGTCCTAACTTATTATTTATTGAATACCTGGCAGGTAGTTTGTAAATATAACTTTGCCCATTTTCAGTCCAAATGATGACTTTATCTGCCGAGACAAAGTCACCTCCAGTCCACGTCTGTCCATTTTCACTCGGACCTGAGCACAACAGGGAGTAGTCCCCAGCATCAAATACCTACAAGGAATAAGAGATTTGCAATCGTTTTAAAAACCATAAAACAAAATAAGACAATTTAACCATATAAAAACTGAAAACTTCTTTTTGGCAGTAACTGAGAAAGTCATGCTGGTGGGTTGCAATACCATCTACATGTTGTTTTCGTATGCATTTCCCTGATGATTAACGAAACTGAACACCTTTCTACACATTTACTGGCCACCTGGCTTTCCTCTCTTGTGAAATGTTTTTGTTCGTTTTCCTATTGGGTGGTCGGTGTTTTTCTTCTTGACGTGTAGAAGTTGTTTTTAATCAATAATAGACGAGTCCCTCATCACAGTGTACACACCATCGCTATCTTCTCCACTCTGTAGGTTGTCTTTTTTTTTTTTAATACATCTTTACTGGAGTATAATTGCTTCACAATACCATGTTAGTTTCTGTTGCACAACAAAGCAAATCAGCCATATACATACACATGTCCCCATATCCCCTCTCTCTTAAGCCTCCCTCCCTGTGCTATGCAGCTGCTTCCCACCAGCCAACTATTTTACATTCCGTAGTGTATATACGTCGATGCTACTCTCACTTCGCCCCAGCTTCACCCTCCCACCCCATGTCATCAAGTCCATTCTCTATGTCTACCTCTTTATTCCTGCCCTGCAACTAGGTTCATCAGTACCACTTTTTTTTTTTTAGATTCCATATATGCGTTAGCATATGGTATTTGTTTCTCTCTTTCTGACTTACTTCACTCTGTATGACAGACTCTAGGCCCATCCACCTCACTACAAATAACTCAATTTCATTTCTTTTTTATGGCTGAGTAATATTCCTTTGTATACAAGTGCCACATCTTCTTTATCCATTCATCTGATGATGGACACTTAGGTTGCTTCCATCTCCTGGCTATTGTAAATAGAGCTGCAATGAACATTGTGGTTTTCTTTTTGAATTATGGTTTTCTCAGGGTGTATGCCCAGCAGTGGGATTGCTGGGTCACATGGTAGTTCTATTTTTAGTTTTTTTAAGGACCCTCCATACTATTTTCCACAGTGGTTGTATCAATTTATATTCCCACCAACAGTGTAGGAGGGTTCCGTTTTCAACACACCCTTACCAGCATTTATTGTTTCTAGCTTTTTTGATAATGGCCATTCTGATCAGTGTGAGGTGATACCTCATTGTAGTTTTGATTTGCATTTTTCTAATAATTAGTGATGTTGAGCATCTTTTCATGTGCCTCTTGGCCATCTGTATGCCTTCCTTGTGAAATGTCTATTTAGGTCTTCTGCCCATTTTTTAACTGGATTGTTTGTTTTTTTGATATTGAGCTCCATGAGCTGTTTGTATACTTTGGAGATTAATCCTTTCTGTTGTTTCATTTGCAAATATTTTCTCCCATTCTAAGGGTTGTCTCTTTGTCTCGTTAATGGTTTCTTTTGCTGTGCAAAAGCTTTTAAGTTTAATTAAGTCCCATTTTTTAATATTTGTTTTTATTTCCGTTACTCTAGCAGGTGGGTCAAAAAAGATCTTGCTGTGGTTTATGTCAAAGAGTGTTTTTCCTATGTTTTCCTCTAAGAGAGTTATAGTGTCTGGTCTTACATTTAAGTCTTTAATCCATTTGGAGTTTAGTTTTGTGTATGGTGTTAGGTAGTGCTCTAATTTCATTCTTTTACATGTAGTTGTCCAGTTTTCCCAGCACCACTTATTGAAGCGGCTGTCTTTTCTCCATTGTATGTTCTTGCCTCCTTTGTCATAAATTAGGTGCCCATATGTACATGGGTTTATCTCTGGGCATTCTATCCTGTACCATTGATCTAGTCTTTTCACTCTTGTGTGTGCACTTAAGAGAAGGCTGATCTCACATGATTATAAAATGCTGACAATGGGCACACAAGAAACTGGTATTAGCTACTGCCTCTAGGGAGGGGAAGGGAAGTACCCTGGGGGAAAAGGGTGTATATTTTTCACTGTATCCTCTTGCACTTCGTTTTACTTCTATTTGGATGTGTTTTAAGTTTTAAGACAAAGGAAGGATCCCATATGGACTACTACAACTAAGCAGCTGCTAGCTTTTCTTCTCTAATCTTATTCCCAAACAACAGTCATATGGTAAGGCTCTCCACTCTGAGACAGGATAGCACAGTAGTAACGAGAGCAGCTGCTGCAGTCAGACTGCCTGAACTGTATAACCTTAGTCACTTGTACAACCACCACCACTTGTATAACCTTAGCCAAGTTATTTAGCCCCCCTATGCCTCAGTTGCCTCATCTGCGAAATGGGCAAAGCCACAATCCCTGCCGTGGCAGGCGGCCTCTAAAATGGCCCCACCCATCCCTGACTCCTGGTAGTATTAGGATCCTCACTAATCCTTGAGTATAGGCAGCATTTTGTGACCGGTTTCTAGAGAACTGAATGTGGCAGAGGTAATGGGATCTCAGCTCTAAGATTAGGTGGGTCTTGGCTACACCTTCTCTTGCTCACTTTTTTTTTTTTTTTTTTTGCCACGTCGTGCAGCATGTGTGGCATGGAAGCAGACCCTCTCCTAGGTGAGCCTTGGGAAGAGGTAGTCATCCCGGCTGAAACCTTCATCACAGTCTCCGAGAGACCCTGGGCCAGAGGTACCCAGCCAAGCCATGCCCAGATTCCTGACCCACAGAAACCCAAATTCCTGACCAAAAAGAGATGATTCATATTTGTTGTTTTAAGTGACTAACTTTTGAAGTAATTTGTTATGCAGGATTAGATAACTAATATACCACCCCTTGGAGAGTTATTTCCAAATAATACATGGAAAGCTTTGAAAAGTATGCTAGGCACAGAGCAGAGCAAGTGATCAAAACTTGATGGCTCTTTTTCTATTATGGAAATATTAAAGTTTGGCAATGTGAAAGTAATATATACCTTCCATCATTAGCTCTTTAGTGACAGAAGACCTTGCCAACTCCAAAATGTCAGAAAAGAATGGCAATTGGGATAATAACAACCTACAAAGATACAGTCAACTTGCAGAAAATTCACCACCATTGCCCATGCTGTACTGACAAGACAATGAAAAATATGGTAGCAAAAGGCAGAAATTAAGATCAATAGAACTAACAACCATTAACTGAATCATTCTATGAACCAAAACAAAAAAGACAACTATATACAGCCAAATTCCATACCTCAAAATATGATATCAAAATCAGACCAAATGTTTCAAATATTCTAACACCAAGCTCCGCCTTACAATTATCTTCGGAAGTCTGATAAACCAATATCATGAAGGGCAAAAATACAATTTCTTACTTATGTAGTTATCTTACCCTCCAATACTTGGAGCACACAACCAGAAGCGACCTCTGTGTGAATGCACAAAAAGAGATGCTTTGGCAATTCTGACAATAAATTGGTTTGGATTCCTCTTCAAATATTGGCTCAGTATCCTGAAAAGAGAAAGATCTGTAAAACTTTAGGATTGGCTGGGTCGTCAGCTAAAATTATCAGACAATGATAAAGCAAACAAAATGAAATAAAGGCATCTCTTGATATGTTTATCAATTTAGCCCCTCACATGAGAACCAAGGTAGTAAAAAGCAGCAAAGATGTACTCTAAAATTATCTGGGTACAACATCTTTGCTACAAAGCTACTTAAGATTAAAATACTAATGTGAGTCAGAGTGTCACCACTGGCAATGACAGATGATAAAAATTTGAGTCAATCCTAATTTTTATAGTTACATGTGCTTGTAGGTTTAAAAAAAAAAAACTCATCAATTCCTGCACTTTATCCCAGATTCAATGTCTAAAAATTCCCTAACTGAAGAGACTACTATCTATATTGCCAGACAATTGATCTGCCTTTCTTATTGCTAAAAAGTAACAAGGAATTCAAGTCCAAAGAACTCAGAGGACTAAAGCCTGCTTTATGTCTTCTTTGTGGTGGTTTTTTTCCCCCTCAACCAAACTACCTTTTAACTTCAAATTTAAACAGAAGCAGTTGCGGAAAATCCTCTTCTGTGTTTCTCTACTTCAGATCCTGCACATCATGTTTCTCTGCTTTGCATTCTTGATAAGGCAGATACCTACCCTCAAAAGGGAAAAATAATAATTCACGTACAGAGAGAGCATACTAGGGGACTCTTCTATACTATGTCAATAAGACTATTGAAGAGAATAGCTTTTTCCTTCCTCTTTAAGTAAAAAAGAGAAGGGGCCTATCATGACTAAAATGTAAGACTCCATAAGAACAGAAACAGAGAACTGACTTCCAGCCTCATTTGTCTCACCTGCAGGCCACTTATTTCCGAGGTAACAATCCACACCTTCAAGATGCCCGTCACTGAGAGCGCCACCACAGTGTCCTCTACACCGAGAAGGAAGAAGAAGCCAGTTACAAACACAACATGCCTTCTTTCTGAACAATAATATAGTTACAACAGTGACATGGACCATGGTTTGCTTTTTTTTTTTTCTTCTTCCATCACCCTCCCTATCCCATCCCACCCCTCTAGGTGGTCACAAAGCACTGAGCTAATCTCCCTGTGCTATGCAGCTGCTTCCCCCTAGTTTTCTCAGGGTATATGCCCAGGAGTGGGATTGCTGGGTCGTATGGTAGTTCTATTTGTAGTTTTTTAAGGAACCTCCATACTGTTCTCCATAGTGACTGTATCAATTTACATTCCCACCAACAGTACAAGAGGGTTCCCTTTTCTCCACCCTCTCCAGCATTTATTGTTTGTAGATTTTTTGGTGATGGCCATTCTGACCGGTGTGAGATGATAACTCATTGTAGCTCTGATTTGCATTTCTCTAATGATTAATGATGTTGAGCATTCTTTCATGTGTTTGTTGGCAATCTGTGTATCTTCTTTGGAGAAATGCCTATTTAGGTCTTCTGCCCTTTTTTGGATTGGGCTGTTTGTTTTTTTGATATTGAGCTGCATGAGTTGCTTCTATGTTTTGGAGATTGATCCCTTGTCCGTTGTTTCATTGCAAATATACCATACTGTCTTGATTACTGTAGCTTTGTAGTATAGTCTGAAGTCAGGCAGCCTGATTCCTCCAGCTCCATTTTTTGTTCTCAAGATTGCTTTGGCTATTCGGGGTCTTTTGTGTTTCCATACAAATTGTGAAATTTTTTGTTCTAGTTCTGTGAAAAATGCCAGTGGTAGTTTGATAGGGATTGCATTGAATCTATAGATTGCTTTGGGGAGTAGAGTCATTTTCACAATGTTGATTCTTCCAATCCAAGAACATGGTATATCTCTCCATCTGTTTGTATCATCTTTAATTTCTTTCATCAGTGTCTTATAATTTTCTGCATACAGGTCTTTTGTCTCCTTAGGTAGGTTTATTCCTAGATATTTTATTCTTTTTGTTGCAATGGTAAATGGGAGTGTTTTCTTGATTTCACTTTCAGATTTTTCATCATTAGTGTATAGGAATGCCAGAGATTTCTGTGCATTAATTTTGTATCCTGCTACTTTACCAAATTCATTGATTAGCTCTAGTAGTTTTCTGGTAGCATCTTTAGGATTCTCTATGTATAGTATCATGTCATCTGCAAACAGTGACAGCTTTACTTCTTCTTTTCCGATTTGGATTCCTTTTATTTCCTTTTCTTCTCTGATTGCTGTGGCTAAAACTTCCAAAACTATGTTGAATAAGAGTGGTGAGAGTGGGCAACCTTGTCTTGTTCCTGACCTTAGTGGAAATGCTTTCAGTTTTTCGCCATTGAGGATGATGTTGGCTGTGGGCTTGTCATATACGGCCTTTATTATATTGAGGAAAGTTCCCTCTACACCTACTTTCTGCAGGGTTTTTATCATAAATGGGTGTTGAATTTTGTCAAAAGCTTTCTCTGCATCTATTGAGATGATCATATGGTTTTTCTCCTTCAATTTGTTAATATGGTTAATCACATTGATAGATTTGCGTATATTGAAGAATCCTTGCATTCCTGGAATAAACCCCACTTGATCATGGTGTATGATCCTTTTAATGTGCTGTTGGATTCTGTTTGCTAGTATTTTGTTGAGGATTTTTGCATCTATGTTTATCAGTGATATTGGCCTGTAGTTTTCTTTCTTTGTGGCATCCGTGTCTGGTTTTGATATCAAGGTGATGGTGGCCTCGTAGAATGAGTTTGGGAGTGTTCCTCCCTCTGCTGTATTTTGGAAGAGTTTGAGAAGGATAGGTGTTAGCTCTTCTCTAAATGTTTGATAGAATTCGCCTGTGAAGCCATCTGGTCCTGGGCTTTTGTTTGTTGGAAGATTTTTAATCACACTTTCAATTTCAGTGCTTGTGATTGGTCTATTCATATTTTCTATTTCTTCCTGGTTCAGTCTCGGAAGGTTGTGCATTTCTAAGAATTTGTCCATTTCTTCCAGGTTGTCCATTTTACTGGCATATAGCTGCTTGTGTAATCTCTCATGATCCTTTGTATTTCTGCAGTGTCAGTTGTTACTTCTCCTTTTTCCTTTCGAATTCTGTTGATTTGAGTCCTCTCCCTTTTTATCTTGATGAGTCTGGCTAATGGTTTATCAATTTTGTTTATCTTCTCAAAGGACCAGCTTTTAGTTTTATTGATCTTTGCTATCATTTCCTTCATTTCTTTTTCATTTATTTCTGATCTTATCTTTATGATTTCTTTCCTTCTGCTAACTTTGGGGTTTTTTTGTTCTTCTTTCTCTAATTGTTTTAGGTGTAAGATTAGGTTGTTTATTTGAGATGTTTCTTAAGGTAGGATTGTATTGCTATAAACTTCCCTCTTAGAACTGCTTTTGCTGCATCCCATAGGCTGTTGTGTTTTCACTGTCATTTGTTTCTAGGTATGTTTTGATTTCCTCTTTGATTTCTTCAGTGATCTCTTGCTTATTAAGTAGTGTGTTGTTTAGCCTCCATGTGTTTGTATTTCTTACAGGTTTTTTCCTGTAATTGATATCTAGTCTCATAGCGTTGTGGTCAGGAAAGATACTTGATACAATTTCAATCTTCTTAAATTTACCAAGGCTTGATCTGTGACACAAGATATAATCTGTCCTGGAGAATGTTCCATGAGCACTTGAGAAGAATGTGTATTTTGTTGTTTTTGGATGGAATATCCTATAAATATCAATAAAGTCCATCTTGTTTTATGTATCATTTAAAGCTTGTGTTTCCTTATTTATTTTCATTTTGGATGATCTATCCATTTGTGAAAGTGGGGTGTTAAAGTCCCCTACTATGATTGTGTTACTGTTGATTTCCCCTTTTATGGCTGTTAGTATTTGCCTTATATATTGAGGTGCTCCTATGTTGGGTGCATAAATATTTACAATTGTTACGTCTTCTTCTTGGATTGATCCCTTGATCATTATGTAGTGTCCTTTGTCTCTTTTAATAGTCTTTGTTTTAAAGTCTATTTTGTCTGATACAGGAATTGCTACTCCAGCTTTCTTTTGATTTCCATTTGCATGGAGTATCTTTTTCCATCCCCTCACTTTCAGTCTGTATGTGTCCCTAGGTTTGAAGTGGATCTCTTGTAGACAGCATATACACGGGTCTTGCTTTTGTATCCATTCAGCCAATCTATGTCTTTTGGTGGGAGCATTTAATCCATTTACATTTAAGGTAATTATCGATATATATGTTCCTATTACCATTTCCTTAATTGTTTTGGATTTATTATTGTAGGTCTTTTCCTTTTCTTGTGTTTCCTGCCTAGAGAAGTTCCTTTAGCATTTGTTGTAAAGCTGGTTTGGTAGTGCTGAATTCTCTTCGCTTTTGCTTGTCTGTAAAGGTCTTAATTTCTCCGTCAAATCTGAATGAGATCCTTGCTGGGTAGAGTAATCCTGGTTGTAGTTTCTTCTCCTTCATCACTTTAAATATGTCCTGCCACTCACTTCTGGCTTGCAGAGTTTCTGCTGAAAGATCAGCTGTTAACCTTATGGGGATTCCCTTAGTGGTTTGCTTTAATGAAATTAAATAATAGCATGTTTTGCAATTAGCATGAAAACCTAATTCTATACTTTATGAAATAACAGAGAACAGATTCAAAACAGGTTAATGAAGATGATCAAAAATTTGGAGTTCAAGGAAAAGTTTTTTTTAGCTGCTTGATTTAGTTCTAACTTACAAGTTTTAATAATTTCAAATATTCTTGATTACTATGCTAAAAAATTACTTTTTAAAAAAAAATTTTTAAGAATTTAAAAAACTAAAAATCAAACACACAACTTTTATTCTTCAAAGTTCACTTTTAGTTATTCATCATGGGGGAGCACAGTCATTTTCTTTCTTCAGGGCACACATTTCCCCTTTCCCCACCTCCCTTGCCCGCCATTTTATTGCACATCACACCCTCCAGAGGCCATGATCAAGAGACAGACATGACATAAAACCCAAATTCATCAGCTTCGGGTGAGGGAGCAGTCACAGCACGACAGTAATATTCATGAACTCTGAGAGGAAGGGCATTAGATAGTCTAATGCAGGCTCTAGAGTGAGGGAGTATGCGTTAAAATCACATTTTCTTCACTAATTAACCAATGAACTGTGCATAACTTAACTAACCTATCCTAAATTCAATTTGCTTATCTGTAAGCAAATGTAAATGAATAAAGTAACGACAGTACCTACCTTAATCGTCTGTTATGAGAATTAAAACACACCACAGGTATAGCCCTCAACACATCAATAAAAATAAATTACTGTTATTTAAAAAACAGTGTTTGCTACATTTCAATATAAACTTTATTTGTACTGCCTGGCTCCATAGGCAAGGTAAAGCACTGAAATGCACTGATTACAATTCCACAATCTCTGTACAAAGAAGCTAGAACAACTACTCACAAGTCTGTCAATTACTGTAAAAGTGCAACATACCAACATACCTAAAATTCTCAAATATCTACACACTAGAATAGGGTAAAGCAGATTAAAAATTGCGTATGTTAGCAACATTATAAACTGACAACACTTAGAAATGCATGCACAGCACAAAATTTTCCATTAAAGTTACATTTTATCCTATTCAGACCAGTGTGTACATGTATATTTCACATGTGGATACTTCCCACACACACCTAGATAATGCCTTTTGTACCTATGTACAAACTATTTTTAGAGACTTCATCTAATCTGGGCAGCCTTCCTACTTGCTCTCAGCCCCTTCACTACCTTCACGAATTCTAGCCTCTGTGCTATTTCTCTATCTCATCACATTTCATACCCTGAACTGCCATTTGTTTACATATCATCCTCCCTTACTAGAATTTGAGTCCCTTCAGTAGTTCAAGCCTTCATACCTAGAAGACAGTAGGCACTCAATAAATATCTGCTGAATGGCTGTTGAATAAAAAGCTATGTACTGATTTCCAACCATAAGAAGTAATAAAGGAAAGCTCCCACGAAACTGAAGGCAGTTCACCAACGGAGGTGGTGTAACACAGTGGTAAAGTAACCGCTCTGGGGTCCATCTGGGCACCAGTAAGCCACAGACTTGCTCTGTGATCTTAAGTAAAGACTCCACCATGCTACACTTCACCCATCTCCGCATCCACACACCCTAAGACAACTGTACCTATCCCACTGGGTGCTGTGAGAACTGTTACCACATGTAAATGCTCAGCATGCGCCCGATACTGTGAGCACTCAGTAAATGAAGTCTCACGGCGGTGGCAGTGGTGCTAATTACAGGTCAGCCTTTACAGAAGAGCACACAACTATGAGGCATTTGGGAGGAAAAAAATGCTCCAAAAGAGACATATAGGAATATACATGTTCAGTATTAATTACTGTTCTTGTCCTGAACAATTTTACTTTCGTTCTCACAATTGTTACTGAAAGGTTTCAATGGAAATGAAGAAAACATACTTGTATTTGTTGAGCATCAACTACACACCAAGCACTTACCAGGACCTTTCATTAAATTTAATTGTGTGCAATCCCCTCCATTTTCATCATCTCCACAAAAAATGGAAACACTTCCTATGACTCTTCAGGCAGTGACACAACCGGGCCCAAGAAATACACAGATAAACTACAGTTCCTCCCACCATACCTCCAAGGGGTTAAGACATTCTTCTTCCACTTCAGAAAATCACTGACACACTCTAAGACAGCCAGAAACTAGTGATCTATTCCATGGAATGGAGATAATGTAACACTTTAAATCTTAATTCAATCAAAGACTCCTTTATGAAAGTAGAGACAGACCATAAATCATGAGAGAAGTTATTTTTAAACCTAAGAATATAACAAAGTATATTAATATGTGACACATCATACAACTCTACAGTAAACTAACCATTAAGTCATAGTGTAGAAATTCCTAAAGGGCACACTGACCTTGTGTTCGATGGGATCGAATAATACTCATGGAGCTAATCCAATCTGGAGAGATCTTTGATACTAAGGAGTACAACACCTCAAGGCTGGTGGCATCCACCACGAGGATTTCAGGATAATGGCCATGGCATAGAAGCCTTCCTTCTCTCTGATTTCCAACAGAGAACTGGTAGAACTAAAAGGAAGAAGATTTTTAAATGTTCTTTACTTGAGATACTTGATTCACATGGATTCACCAAGCTTATTATGATGCTCGATTTCTCCAGTAAAATTTCCAGACATGTACTATATGGTACATATTACATGCGTCTACACATACACATGTCTACACATATGCAGACATCAAGTTACATTAATATTTCAAAATAACTAACAAAATTATTTTCTTCCTAATATCTTATCTTCCTTTTTGAACTATTTTGGAGCAGAATTCATGATGATTCTTTTTTGTCCTCCTGTAGCATCTAAAACAGAGTTGTTGAATGAATTAATAAAACACCTGAATAAAATCAGCTTCACAAATCAAAGCAAAAGGGTAGCTCACGTGGGTCACAAAAATAATATGAGCTTGAGATGAATGAGAATCAGTGAGTATAGGTTTATAATTACTAGTTATGACCAAATAAAATTTAGAAGCAAGGATGATTCTGTTCAAATATACTCAGAAGTAAATTCTGAGTAATCTAAGTGTGAAACAACCGTTATAAACCATTCTCATAGTGCACATTTATACTTTGTGGAAGAAAAATAGAGGAAGAACCAGTACAATGGTGTTACTCATGCCAAGAATAACTCAAAAGGATAAGATGAGTTTCCATCAAGCAAAGAGCAGAGAAAGAATGACTCTAAGACCAACAACTTATCAAAGGTTCTGAATTCCCTTAGCCTCAAAAAAAGAAAAAAAGTGACTCTCTTAGTGGAATGATTCTCCTAGGGGATTTTTAGAAGGCAGACTACTACTTTCCAAGGGATTGGACCTTATATAAATCACGCGAGGGCAAGCTAGACACCGCACAAGGCGCAATGCTGTAACCACTCCACAACTGGGGAGATAAGTAAGAAACCCAGGTCCAGTCTGCTCCCACACTCATCCACCCACGGCTCAGAGCTCAACGTTGCATGTGAAGGAAGACAATCTTTTCTCAACTATGAAGTCCCCTGCACAAGGAGCACAACTTCTTAAACATAAACATTGAGCATGGAGCACATTAACTAAGTGCAAGGTAGCACCACTAAACCCCAGAGAGGGGTCTAATAAAATGTAGACTATCATAGGGGGGACCTCTAGATCTCAGGCTGATCCATAACACACGATCTGGGCTCCCAGGGACTGCCAGCCTCTCGCATGCATATAATAAAGTGACCATAGGTGGCCTTGACCCACAGAAGGGGAGGATGTGTAAAGGAGAAAGGGATGGGTGCACATAAGCAAACTTTGTCAGCGCTCACTCAGCACCAGCCAGGAAAGACATGTGCACTGCAGTCACTAGAGAAGAGCTCTGTCCTGAGGGCAGGGATATTTTATTAGATGTGCCTGACTAAATGCCTCTCACTTTTGCTTGAAAGTTATATTCTCAAACCATCTTCCGAATGCTGATCTAGCTTCCAAGACACTTTGATATGGGCAAGAAAGGTGTCCCTAATGGAGAAACAGGTTTTCCAAATATTAAAAAGGGATGTCTCCATGTGATAATTTAATAAGTTGGCACTTCCTTATGATTTCAGTAAGTGCCAATGCCATCAAGTTTCATCATTTCTACATATATAAGAACAACCTGGGGACTTCCCTGGTAGCACAGTGGTTAAGAATCTGCCTGCCAATGCAGGGGACACAGGTTCAAGCCCTGGTCCAGGAATACCCCACATGCCACGGAGCAACTAGGCCCGTGCGCCACAACTACTGAGCTGCGCTCTAGATCTGCCTGCCAATGCAGGGGACACAGGTTCAAGCCCTGGTCCAGGAATACCCCACATGCCACGGAGCAACTAGGCCCGTGCGCCACAACTACTGAGCCTGCGCTCTAGAGCCCACGAGCCACAGCTACTGAGCCCACGTGCCACAACTACTGAGCCCATGCGCCTAGAGCCTGTGCTCCACAACAAGAGAAGCCACTGCCATGAAAAGCCCGCGCACTGGAACGAAGAGTAGCCCCCGCTCGCCACAACTAGAAAAAACCCGCGCGCAGCAATGAAGACCCAACGCAGCCAAAAATAAATAAATAAATAAACAAATTTTTTTTAAGAACCTGCTTCTGAACCTGAGAGGGTGAGGATCACCCAGGAGACACCTGTCACACACATTAGTAAATGCCAAAAAGCATCTTCTACTTAGAGATGGCTGCCAATCTAAATACAGAAGGCCTAATACAGGATCTGATAAATAGTAGGCACTGAAAATATATTGAATAAAGATAATTTTTCCTAAAATATAAACCAAAAGTTTTTAAGTCAGAAGATTATACAACAGTTAAAATATTTATATCCAATGAGTTTGATACTTATATATAATTTTCCAATTAAATTATTTATAAAGTCAATGAATCTAAATGATTTTATTATCCCTTTTCTCTTTATAAATCTTGATGATTCTTATGATAAAAAATAAATACTACAGACCCTTTAAATAAAAAGTATATGCCGTAACAGCATTGAAAAAGCAATTTTTAAAAGGATTTTGCCAGGGCAATAAGTAGTCACTAAAGATTTATATCACACTAACCACCTGTGAAAATTTTCCTTTGCTTGTCTAACTTGTGTTAGCACAGAAGGTTTTCTTTCTCAACAAATGATTTTACTTGTCTTAAGGGAGGCAGTATGATATAACAGAAAGAACACAGTCCCTAGAGTCAGATAAAGCTGATTTGGGATCCTAGTGCTAGGAATGACTCACTGTGAGACTGGGGCAAGTCATTTAATCACTCCGGCTATCAGCTTCCTTATACATAAAAGGATACACTCCTCCCTAATTTGTAAGGATGTGGGGAGGCCTAAATGAGAAACCATACAAGAAACACCTATATAATATTTGCTATAAATGTGAGTTCTCTTCTCTTCCCTCTTCTTCCCCATTGAGAACATAAATCACATTTTCTATGTACACTGTAACCTCCCAACACTCAACACAGTAAATGATGAGTAATTTGAAGCACAAAGAATTTGACAGTTATGAAAGAATAAGGAAGAATACCAGGAATGTAAGTGAGAAGCTATAAATTCCTGTGCAAATTCCTGTGTAAGCCAGGCATATGAAATGGTCCTTTCTTTTACAGAGTTGTGAAGTCAAAACACGAACTCAAGAACCAACTGCACAAGCAAGGAAAAGGGTACCATCCCCAAAATGGATTGTGTCAATCACGAGTGGAATCACAAAGGCTTTAGCAAGAGAGAAATCCATTATTTAGGATCTAGAACACTTACCCAACCAGTAAAGGGGCTCTCACCTGGGTAACCAGGATAGTCAGAGAGAGCAGAAGCAGCAGTGACAATGGCTTACCTTACATCTTTCAACATTAGTCTCCTCTTCTTTATTTTCCTCGCCCACTACACTGTCTTATAAAAAATACTTTTACTACTCTAATTCTAGTCTTCCTGCCCTATTACCCATCCCCACCCACTTCTCATACAAAAATATAGACTCAATGTTTAAAAAATAGTTTTTCAATTGTACACGTATAATAAATTGTGCTGACTTGGCCAGTTACAGAAATTGATACTAACCTGTATGCCAGTATGTGTGCAAGCTAATTTTGTAAATTCAATACATCTGCCGTCATTCACGTCCCAGAGGCACATCTCTCTATAAAATAAGGTAACAGCTGACTTTAAATTTGAGTTTTGGAAGCACTGTTCAACTTTGTCACAGTGGTTTAAAATTAATCTTCCATTAAAACTGACATATTTCTGAAAAACTATTGATAGTATATAGTCATTATTGCTGTTCATCAAAAATTCTGCTCCTCCCACCCACCGTCCTAACCACCCCCACCTTGATCCACATCCTTTCTGGGCACCTGGGAGGACTGCACCTCCTGGCTCCACTTTAGTTGGTGGAGTCTTCTGAGTAGCTCTGACCAGAACTTATATGAGACCCTCCAGAGCTCTCCTCCTGTCTCTACACCAGACAGCGGCAGCTCCTTCACCCTCAGCCTCAAAGTAAGGAGAATTATGAAGCAGAGCACAGCCCTAAGTGATATATGAAGGGCAAGTGACAAAAACTAGAAATAAACTTTTAAATTAAACCACTGCAATCTTCCATCGGTTATCAACCTACTAGAAAACTTAGCACTGCAAAAAGCAAAACTTAAGGTCAACTGAATTCCAAATCTTTGCAAATTAAATGTAATATTCCAGTTCTGATTCCATATTTATTGCAGAAGTTTTATTGCATGCATACCAAAAGAAAAAAGCTTTATCTCACACTAAAGATACAGCATTTGAAATCAGAAATGTCAATATGCCTTGTATTTTAAAGAAATAAACTTAAGATTTATTTAACAGAAGACAACATTAATAAAATGTAATGATCCTGATATTACGGTATTCTTTAAGATGCCTTTTCCTATACCTCATATGGTATAAATTTTTCAAAGGAAATTCACCCCATCTATTTAGAATATTCACTCTAATATGAATTATCCTTTAGTTGGCCAAAAGGTACTATATTTTCATCCGCTGCTGCCTTTCAGTTACACAAGGTTCTTTTTAAATTCATAAATTATGAGGAGTAGAAGGGACAAGTCCTTAAATAATTCTCTTCCAGTTCCCCAACTCCCTTCAATAACATATTGTGTAAATATACAATTTTCTAAACACTCTAAAAGTTTTTTCTTTTAATTCCCCACACTCTAGACCCTACAAATACTGTTCAATGACTTACCTCTCTAAAAGCAAGCTCTATTCTGAGCCTTAGGAATACATGTAGCCATATTAGTGCATTAATGTACATCAATATAACTGTTTAAACTTTTGCATGGCTTCGTCTTCCAAATTTATGCTAGCCTAGCATCACTGAGGTTTTTTAAAACTCTCAGAGTTGTCGGTCAATTCAGCAAAAATGCCTTGGGGATTAATGATCATTCTTTAAATTTTATGGTATTCTGAGTTTCTCAAAAGCAAGGCAAAAACATAATCATAAATTACAATAAAATACAAAGTATTATAAAAATCAGTAATAAAGATAAAATTCATTTTGAAAACCATATTTCAAATATCTTTATGTTGAAACAACTGAGGCATTTATTTAAAAGACACCCCAAAAGAAAAAAAAAATTCCTACTTACTAATACAGTGGTACTATTTGCAATACAGACTTATGAGGAGAAAAGTGAATAAGAAAATACTTACCCACTCTCGGATGCGCTCACAATATACTGTTTGTCACTAGAAGCACAAGCTTTAGATAAACAGGTGATTGAAGCTGTGTGACCAAACAACAGTGCTCGAGGATTAACCTAGAAATACACAAATATGTTGATATTAGTACCAAATTTTTTAAGTAATCATTTTTAGGAATCCTGTTAAATATTCAGTACAATATACAGATACAGATTTGAGAAGAACTGCTCAGAACACCAAAAAGTAAGAGCTGCAAAACACTGACTCCCACCAATTTAATGTGCACAATCATCCCACCACGTAGTTCTAAAGTCAAAAGTGAAAACCAAGAGGTGACATTACTTGCCCAATATCACGCAGAGAATGATGGAACCAGGATTTAAAGCAGGGCAGTGTTTAGCACTAAGCTCCAATACACTAAGAAATCAGGTTAAGAATGTGTATTAGTATATAAAATAATTTAACCTCACCTATTTGTAAAATAATACTTTGCATGATTTGAGAGTACATTTAGAGTCTCTAGACTGACATCCCCAAACACAAAAAATAGAGAATAGGTACCCTACCAAAAGCTGATATCAATGTTGACTATCAGGAACCAGACTGACCTTCACAGACTAATGATTTAGTGCCATAGTGCCTTATGAAAGGATGGCTTAACACCCACTATTCTAAAATAGTCTAGCAATCAGTCCCCAAATTCATCTACTCTGTACCAAACTGCATGCTATCATTTCAGGTTACTTCAAGGCCTTAAGTAATTTCAGGATATCTTTCTTAAACATTTAATACATACAAATAATATTTGTAACACATGTACAAGACATAAAAAAAATACATAACCACATATTCAATACCCAGTTTAAAAAAACAGAATATGATTAATACCTTAAAGCCCCTTTCATGATATCCATTTTGCAAAGAATCAAAATCACTTTAGCCTTATTTTGCATAATTATAATTAAAAGAAAAATACAATCATTGTTTATGGTTAGAACAGGCCTAGAATGTTTTCTCATACATCCAACCCCATTTCTATACAGAGACTCTGTGTTCCTCCACTGCAAAAAAAAAAAAAAAAATGCTCTTGGTCAATTCTTTAATTTCTCCCAAGAAAATCAAATTTACCAATTGTTAGTTTTATTTTCAATGTACATGGCTTTGCTAGAAAATCCCATTTTCAGTCATAATAGAGTAACTAGAACTGACTGTACTCCCACCAAAATCTAGAAAAATGAACAAAAATAATTGAATGAAGTATAAAAATCACATAATCATCTCAATAGAGGCAATAAAAGCATTTGACAAAACTCAATATCCTTTCATGATTAAAAACTCTCAACAAATTGCGTATAGAAGGAATGTACCCCAACATAATAAAGGCCATATACAACAAGCTCACAGATAACATCATATTCAACAGTAAAAAGCTAACAGCCTTTTCTCTAAGATCAAGAACAAGACAAAGATAGCTACTCTTGACATTTCTAATCAACATAATACTGGAAGTCTTAGCCAGAGCAATTGGGCAAAAAACTAAACAAACAAAGCATCCAAATTGAAAAGGAAGAAGTAAAATTGTCTCTGTTGTAGGTGACATGATCTTATATGTAGAAAATCCTAAAGACTCCACCAAAAAACTGTTAGAACTAATGAACAAATTCAGAAAAGATGCATGATACAAAATAAACATACAAAACTCAGTTGTTTCTATAACAACAAGATATCTGACAGAGAAATTAAGAAAGCAATCCCACTTACAACAGCATCAAAAAGAATAAATTACTTAGAAATAAATTTAACCAAGGAGGTGAAACACCCGTATTCTGAAAATTATAAGACACTAATGAAAGAAGTGGAAGAAGAAATAAATAACGTGGGAAAGATATCCCACGTTCTTGGGTTGGAAGAATTAATGTTATTAAAAGGTCCATACTACCCAAAGCAATCTACAGAGTGAATGCAATCCTATCAAAATTCCAATGGTGTTTTTCAGAAATAGAAAAATAGAAAAAAACATGATAAAATTTGTGTGGAACCATAAAAGACACCAAATAGCCAAAGCAATTTTGAGAAAGAACAAAGATGGAGGCTTCACACAGTAAGTATTAATATAACTGGAGGAAAAATAAAAATATGGCATATTGTTATATTTATACCTTTTATCTATATCTCACCATATCCCATAAAAATTTATGTCATAGTTATTAACTAATAAACATTTCACACATAATCAGTACAAAGATAATCTGTTCAACATATTCAAAAAACCATCCATCATCAAAGACCACAGTTCGAAAGTGACAGTTATCAGTGGCAAGGTGTGATGTTTAGAATAAAATGATGTGATGTGTCAGTTCTTAAGAGTAAACACTAACATCAATGTTCCAACCTGGAACTTTGAGGCTACTAGTTCTATAGTCAGCCAACAATCAGCACTCCTTTTGTTTCCTCCTTTAGCTTTTTTTCTTTCTACTACCTGAGATGCTACAATTACATTCATTAACTAAATCCTTACTATGTACAAGCACTGTGATAACTGCTTAATACACATTCCTTCATAGAATCCTTACCACAACCTTGTGTAGTTGATCCTATTTGAAAGATGGCAAGACTTAGGCACCAAATGGTTAAAAACGGCCAAAAGTCACACAGCTAGACACTACAGTAGCCAAGATTGAAGCCAACTTCACCCACCTGCAACATCTGAGCTCTTACCACAATGTTTCACTTCGTTCATTAATGCCATGTATTATACTATTCTTTGCAATTATAGTTTAATTCTCTGCAATTACAGCTTTATAGGTAGTTGAAGCATTAAAACACTATACTGTAGACAACACCTGCATTAACAGGTTCCCTCCTTTACTCTTATCACCATCGTCTAGGTACTCACTAAACTACTGCTTCTGCAATATCTCTCACATATTTTATTGCCACCATGTTAGGCCAGGCTGCCCTTTTCCACAGGTAAAAGGAGACCAAGATATGGATAGCAAAAGTTCTAGCTACAGTTTTGAATCCTTTCCTAACAAAAGAAGGGAAGACACCATGACCTCAAGAGAAGGTATTTTGTGCCCTCCCCACTCTGTATGTTACATGACTTCTTATTGGTCCTTCATAGGCATAAATGACTGCTATAAAGTACATTAAGAAGGCCCTGCATATGAATCAAAAGACAATAACCAAGCCACTTTTTATTTAGCCTTCTTTTCCCCTGGGTAAACAGTCCAATTCTCTTAATATCTTTCAAAGGATGTATTTCTCTCCTAGTCAGTCTCCTCTCCCCCTTTAATCCCTCTTACTTGAATTTAAATAAATATAACATTCTAGTGAAATCCATGCAAAAAATTCAGTAAAAGAATGGTTTCTAAGATCTTACAAGTAAGTCTTATTGCTTGTAATAACTCCAATAAAATGTGGTGGGATTTTGTTCTCCTCATCACTACACTGCTGATTCCTATTTAGTTTGCTATCAATCCTGAAGGCATATCACGTTCTACAACACTCATTTCCAGTCACTTTCCAAACTGTATCCCTAGCTTTGACATGTCATCCAAGTGTGTGGATCATTTTTTCAGTTCTAGCAATTCCATGCCTAGGTGAATACCTAAGAGCAACGAAGACATATGTCCACACAAAAACTCACACACAAATGTTCAAAGCAGCATTTTGACCATTCACTATGGTCAAAAGTAAAAACAACACAAATGCCCATCAACTGATAAAAAGACAAATAAAATGCAGTATACCTATACAATGCAATATCATTTGGCCATTAAAAGAAATGAAATATTGATACATGCTACATGGATGAACCTTGAAAATATTATGCTAAGTGAAAAAAGCCAATCACAGAAGATCACATACTAAATGATTCTATTTACATAAAGTGTCCAGAATAGGCAGATCTATAGAGACAGAAAATAGATTTGTGGTTGCCCAGGGGACATGGGGGTATATTGGGCGTAACTGCTACAAAGTACAAGGTTTGCTTCCAAGGTGATGAAAATGTTCTAAAATTGACTGTGGTAATGGCTGCACAACTCTGTGAACAGAGTAAAAAAACATTAAATTGTACACTTTAAAGAGTATATTGTATGGCGTGTAAATTTTATCTCAATAAGGCTGTTAAAAAAATGTTTAGTTAAAAAAATCAACTTTCTTGCCTCTACATTCCATGCCAGCTACCACCCCATTTTCTCTGTTCCCCCTTACAGAAAAATTCCTGGGGAGAGTTGTCAGAGATTGGAGGTTAAAATATGGAAAAAGACAGTCTCTCCACAGAGAGCCAGCGCCCAGAAGCAGAGCACACTGAGCATTCCACACCAGTAAAGGATGGCAAAAAATACATAGCGACTTTTAAAATAAATATGACAAAATTTACAAACAGTTTTACAAAAAGTTTTGCTCTCTTCAAGACATTGACCTTAGAAGGTATAAATGCTCAAAATTGTTTTTTAATATCTTTTTTGGAAACCTCCTTCAATATGGTTAGAAATTTTCTGAAAAATGTTAAATGTAACATATTAAGCCAGGTAGGATACCTATTATAATTGAAAATCAATCCAAAAGGCAGCAGAAGTCAACTCTGATGAATAATGTAAATAATCATTCTGAATACCAATTTTAGTCAAAATATATCTCACAGAAGATATATTATGAGGTCAAATTATTCTGGAACTGTGTTATTTTTTGTTAAGTAGTTTCTTATATGTGAAAAGTACAATAGGCACTTCAAACACTCACTTCCAAGTCTACTGAAAGATCCCAGAGACATATTTGCCCATCATGGCATCCAGTCACGATCGTGGCCCCATCATCTGTTAAAAGTACTGCTGAGATGCAGTGGGTTGGTGCTTTGCGACCCCAAAGAACGATGGGTAGAACAAGGCTGTTTCCTGCCATTGTGCTTTCAAACCTGGAAATGTTATAAGAATAATGTCAAATGTTATATTTCCTTCTAAAACATATTACACATTTTTCTTATGAAGCCAACTTGAACTTCCTAAGAGCCAAAAATTCCTCTAAACATTATATATATAAATAAAACAGACACATACATAAAAGTATATAAAATCTAATTAAAATCCTCACAACAAATCACACAGTAAGTACTATTAGCGCTCCTCTTTCACATGTAAAGACAGTGAGTCATAAAGAGTTGCAAAGTGAAAATGGAAGAAATGGAGCCCCAGTCAAGACCCAGGCAGCCTGACTTAGAACCCGGGGTCTTACTCACTCTGCTATGCTACCAAGGCAAGTGAGGTCTCCAAATCTTGTTAAGTCTCCAAGCCAATAATAGTTAGCAATGTCCAAGAAAAACGGAGAGTTTTTGACAGTGTCCTAAACATTAAAAAGAATATTGCCCACTGAGAAACTCATTCACCATATTTAGTACAAACCTATTATGTCTCAAAGTCACAAATGTCTTTTATTCTAAACTCTGAAACCTGAGGGATAAAGAACTTCAAACTCATTTCTGAATAATAAAAATTTAGTTGTGGTAAAGGTGTTTAAATTTGAGATGAATAATCAATTAAGCAGTGTATATTAGTGTACCCTGTTTGTAGCACAAATATAAGGAATTATTCCTTCATATGACAAAATTAAGATCTAGTTAGTGAAACAACTAGATTTAGATGTTACAAACTGTGTGATTAAAGACTTAAATACTAGTTCAGAGAAGTTCAAGAGACATGAAAACTGGCATAATCAGAGAGGGCTCCATATGACAGAGACTCTGCCAGACCTTATGAGACACTAGGAGTCACTGATAGGCTTGGTTTCTACGTGGCAACAAAAGATATATGTATAATGTAGACTCTTTAGAATGCTAAGATTGTCCTAAGAAATTTTCAGAGACACTTAAAGGAATAACCACTTTCTATGAAAGAAACTAGTTTAATATCCATGGTCCTACTGCTGGTTGCTTTTAGCAAAAGTCTTTTCTTTAATCCACTACTTACACTCTTTAAACAAATAAATAAAACTAAAACTAAAATCCCTTTCCCTGGAAAGAAAATTAGGCAAGTAAAAAATTATGAATGATGTTTACCAAAAGCAGTCTATGTATATCACATCTTTTATTTTTTGTTAGAATTCATGGCTTTCATCAATTTGCCTCCCCCAAAACTTCATCTGTTTGCTACAGGTAAAAAGTTGTTTGCTACAACTTGGGAAAAATTCCAAGTTCCCTTCCTATTTATAAAACCATTTATGTATCATGTTCAGCAGTTCATAGACTACTATGACACTAATGATTCTTTCCATATTCCTATTTAATATCAGAAAATGAAACAAAGCACTGAGCCAACTTTAACAAATTTGGTACAGCATGTTACTGGCTGAATAACATATCCAACAGTGACTTTCTCAAAAAGAGAATCTGGAAGGAGTTCATTCTTCCATGGTGACAGCATTCATTTTTAAGTTATATCACCAAAGATTTCTCTCAATTAAATAAATTCACAGCATCTAACACAATATGGTGAGATCTGGAAAGAATATTTCTCTCGATATTTGAGCACTCGTATTCGATGCACATGCCTAGCTTGAAGAGAATGCAAATACACAGATTCAGCACTAAGGAATATGTGTGTGACAGGGAGATGTGTCTGTTCTGATGCAACAGGAAAGAACATTCGGGTATTCAAGTGACAAGGAAACCTGGAAGAAGAATACATTTCATAGCTCTTAAAACAAGTGAAAATAATCGCCCATAACATGATAAAGGTATTGGAAAACACAAGAAAACACATCCATCTCTAACTCAGCTTCTCCAGAAACTAAAACAAATCTTCACATTCTAATGAAAATCAGGAACTGACAGTCAATCAGAATCTGAGAAGACTTCTCATTAAGGGCAATTAAGAATCTTCATAAGGGAATACATTGTATTAGTTTCCTAAAAACTGCCCTGACCACAAACTGACTGGCTTAAAAAACAGAATTTGTTGTCTCATAGCTCTTGAGCTAGAAGTCTGAAAGTAGGTGGTGTCACAGTTAGTTCCTTTTGAGGGTTGTGAAGGGAAAGATCTGATCCATGCCTCTCTCCTTGGCTGGTAGAAGGCCAACTTCATGCTCACATGGTGTTCTCCTATGTACACCTCGTTCTCCCTTTTTTTATAAGGACAGTCATGTTGGGTTAGGGCCCACCCTGATGACCTCATTTAACTTGATTACCTTTATAAAGACCTCCAAATAAGGGCACATTCTCAGGTACTAGAGGTTAAGAGTTCAACATATGAATTTTAGGGGAACACAATTCAACTCATAGCAGGGACATGTCCTTTTAAAAGAACATGGCCTAGGGCTTCCCTGGTGGCGTAGTGGTTGAGAGTCCGCCTGCCGATGCAGGGGACACGGGTTCGTGCCCCAGTCTGGGAAGATCCCACATGCCGTGGAGCGGCTGGGCCCGTGAGCCATGGCTGCTGGGCCTGCGCGTCCGGAGCCTGTGCTCCGTGGCGGGAGGGGCCACAGCAGTGAAAGGCCTGCGTACAGCAAAAAGAAAAGAAAAGAAAAGAACATAGCCTAAAATTAATTATCCAAAAAGCAATTCTCCCTTAGGAAATAATGTTACAGAACTTCACTATATCTTTTCCAGGGGATCATACTACATCAGCTGATCTGCTATTACAACTGCTTATCTGAGGAATTAGGTAAGAAGTTCTGTCCAACCAAGGTGGGGGGGAGGGGGGATCGAATTCAAAATTCACTGCTCTATATCCAAGGACATTAGGGATTCATTGGGATAAAAAAAAAAAAATCACATTTTTCTGGAAAAGGCCCAAATCAAAAGTGACTGAATAAATGATTAATGCCATATAGTATTAACTGTAATAGAAACTCTGAAGAAAATTCTTACTAACTCTCCAAAATATTATGTACAATATACTCATATTTTGTAACTAATACATTAAGGGGAAATACCACCTTTCAAATTTTAGAGTTATAAATAAGTATGTTGTACAACTAGATGCTCCTAAAAACAGAAGACTACTAAGAACATTCAATTTTCATCTATGTTTGTATCAAATCTGACTTAAAATTATATTTAGACATTGGCTATTAAATAAAACTTTTTTACTGAAAAAGCTTTAGAGTCAAATAACAGAAGTTCTAGATTCTACCCCTCATTTTGCCACCAACCATACAGGCTTTGAGCATATCATCTCATTTCTGAGGCTTAGATTTCTCATCAAGAGGTAGTTATAAAATTAATTTTGAATCATTTTGAAGTCAAAGAAATCAAATCATAAAGAGCAGGGGTCTGAGATAAAAAATCAAGTCATCTCTTTTGGTTACCTTCATTTCATGTATTTTTCTATTTCACCTAATTGCACCTATTTCTCAGTTCTATACAGAAATAAAACCATACTTCCGTTAAAAACAACAACAAAAATAATAGTTGAAAGAACACTGAACTTACAGTTAGAAGAACTATATTCAAATCCTGACTCTTCTATGCAATCTTGAAAAAGTTACCCCTCTAGGTCTCAGCTTCCCCATCTGTAAAAGATGGACAATAATACCCTCCTTTCAGAAAGCTGTCATAAAGGTTAAGAGATATCATATATGTAATGCAACTAGTAAAATATCCATCACATGGCAGATGATAAGCAACTATTAATTTTTTTAAAACACAGATTTTGCTATTCTTCACTTCTGCTTCCACATCTATTGATTTCCTTCAGCACTGTCGCTTAACATTTAATAAAGTTGTACCTTTTCAAGAGGTTACTATCTTTCACTGACTTTTTTTTTTTTTTTTTTTTGCGTTATGCGGGCCTCTCACTGTTGTGGCCTCTCCCATTTGCGGAGCACAGGCTCCGGACGCGCAGGCTCAGCGGCCATGGCTCACGGGCCCAGCCGCTCTGCGGCATGTGGGATCTTCCCGAAACGGGGCACGAACCCGCGTCTCCTGCATCGGCAGGCGGACTCTCAAGCACTGCGCCACCAGGGAAGCCCTCACTGACTTTTTGACACAATATAAAATACTACTACTGTATATGCCTGTCAAACAATTCTATCTGCAAATATGACAATTCAATCCTGCATGACTTTATTAGAAATAATACTACAAACTCCAATCCCAATACTAAGACAGTTTTCAGATTAAATTCTGATCTCATTTCCCAAGTTTCCATTCTGTGTCTATACCATGGAATTACAACAGTAGATAAAATAGACACATTGACCTACACAATGGGGCTTACACACATGCAAATAACTACCACAGAGTGTGATACAGGAGAAATCTCAAGACCTAATGGAGACACAAAAGATGGATATCCTGACCTATACTTCAGCGGGTCCAGGAAGGGTTCTTGGAAGAAATGATGAGTGAGAATGAGTAGTAATTACCCAAGGAAGAGGCTCAAGGAATCACATATTCTAAGTCCCCAAGGTGAGAGATCTCAGTTCTTTCTGGACAGTGAAAATAGCAGGGCTGGCATTCAGAGCACAAAGGCAGAATGAGACAAGAAACAACAAGCCCACACGCACCAAATCATAAGAACTTGGTAACTCACCTCAAGGAATTTGGAGTTTAACCTGACAGCAATGGAAAACAGGTCAACTGTTTTAAATCTGATTAGCTTTTCAGAAAGATCTCTCTAGCTACAATACAAAAGGGAGGGAGAAAACTCTGGGTTTGAAGACCAGTGGGGCTACTGCAGTACTGCTGGTAAGAGAGATGGTGCCTAAATGTATCACAACTTCATTACTATTTCTGGATTTCTCTGTGTAATGGCTGTCTCCCCTACTAGTCTTTAAGCTCCCTAAGAACAAGAACCACATCGATGTATTTACCACCATATGATGTGGATGGAGCATAGTGTCTGCTATATGGGATGTCTTTAATAAATATATGATGAAGGGTAGCAGTGGTGAAAATGGTAATAATAAGATGAATA